AACGCATCTGCAAAATCGGTGTAGAAACCACAGTTCCAAGCATTGAAATCACATATTTCTTACGCGTCGAATGTGATTAAAAAAGTTAAAAATTAATTCTGATTCATGAGTTTAAGAATTCGTTGAGGAAATAATGAATCGAAATCGATTTACAACGCGTAAATTTCAATAGTTAAGAGCAAATGTGAATTTCGACACGCAAGCTCTACATGATTTTCCAACAATTGGTTGAATCTAAAAAATCACATCATTATCACAATATTGATTCAACCAATTCCACACATGTTTTCAACATAATTGAAAACTCAAGAATTCAACAATTCACAAGTTCAACGTTCAAGAATTCAACTCATGCAATTTACATAATCTCAATTTAATTCAAGAATATCACACAACAATTAGAAGTTAAGTGAAGTTGTAGTGAATTTCCAAATGAAGTGAAGAGGAGTTTGAGGATGATCGGAGGAAGTGAACTCCAAAGCGGAGGAGCTTGGAGGCGCGATCAAAATGTGCATTGGGAAGACTGGTATTATCGGCGAAGTCGTGATGGCGGGAGGATGAGTCTGTGATAGATTATGGAGAAATCAGAGGGAGTTTTCGTTGGAAACAGCGGCAGCAGTCGGAGGTCGAACAAAGTCGGTGATTGCGGCGACGGATTGGAGATGCTTGCGGAAAATGAGTGAAGAAGAAGGAGTATGAAGGTTTTGGGGTTTTGTGTTCTTGAGAAATTTGGGGAAAAAGTTGAGAGAATAATGTTTGATCTTTGAGAGAGTTGAGAGAAAAATTGTGAGACGTTTTTGAGAGTGAGTCTTGTTATTTGATATTTTTTTAAATTCAAAATATATAGTTTTGGCTCCAAACTTGAATATTCAGATTATTTCATGCACAATGCGAGATCGAGTCCCAAGGAAATGACAATCAGCACGAAATCTTGATGCAAGACTCGAAACAAAGATGTTGATGACGAAATTCGTGATGCGGCACCAAAGAATCGTCTCATTACAATAAAAATAGAGCAAGTTATGACGCTCTGAGCAGCGAGAAACTCAGTGTAAAAAATCATCAGTGCATATTTTTCAGCTTTTTTTCATGTACGACGTGCAAACAAACCACAAGCTCATGATGTTCGGTGCGGAATCTTGATGCGAGCCCTAAAGAAAAATTGTCGACGACGAAATTCTTGACGTCATTCCAAAACAATCACCCCGATACGATAAAAATTGAGCGAGTTATGATTTTTTGAATGGCGAGAAACAATTGACTTATTTCACCGTATTGAAAATTTCAGTTTATTTCCATGCGCATTTTCGCATGTGAACCACAAACGAAATCCTTCGAAGCACAATCCTGACTCGGAACCTGAAGAAAAGCTGTAGTTGGTAAAATTTGTGATCTCATGCTTTGAGAATAGTCCCGATACGGTAAAAATTGAGGAACTTACGAATTTTTCAATATCAAGAAATGTTTGGTCCGAAAACCATTTCGGGCGCAATTTTCTCTGGTAATTCGCATTTTCAGAGATCTTCTGTAATGAATTAACTCTTGACCCGAATATATGAATCGAAGATAAAATTAAGACGCATTTTTAGTCCAAAGAACCACTCTAAAACCTAGAACCAGCTAACGTTATGAATTTTTGAACGTTCGAAAAATAACGGTTCAACACAATATTTTCACTGTATTTTCACTGTCTAACTTCAAAATACTCGCGTATTCGGAGATCTTCCTCACCAAATTGGCATCCGAGTCGTACATGAAAGTTGGAGGAAATAATAAGACAACTCAAATGCTCTAAGAAGCACTCAAAGATGATTTTCTGATGAGAAGTTACGAATTTTTAAGCATCTGAAAACCAGAGAAACGATTAATTCACTGTATAACACATTTCAAGTGTTTGGCATTTTAGAAAATCTTTCTCACAAATTTAGCCTTCGACATGAACAGATGAAATGAAGAAGACATCCAGACGGTTCCAATGACCGAAGAATCATTCCCAAACCATTTTCTGATCTCAAGTTGTAAAATTTTAAGCTTGAAACGCACAATACTAAATTTCTATCTGCACTGTCTCAACTCAACTGAAACGCTTGACTTTTGGCACAACTCAAAGCATGTTAGAACAAACAAGAGCTTGATATGATGATGAATCAATTTGTCGCTACTTGAATAGCTTAGACACCATGTAGGGTGCAGTTGAATGTGTAAAATTTTGAATTATACTTTGCTGTATCAACTGACGGAACAATCATCCGCTTTAAATCTTGAAAGATAAACACCATGATTCCACAACCACAGTAACAATGATATGTATGTATGCATATGATTATGAAAAGTAAGCCAATTACAGTTAGAATAAATAGAGCAAATTTTGGAGTACAACACCGACAATTTGATTTTTGTGCGTCATATTGTCCTAGGAAGTTAGAGCTAGTAAGTATGGTAGCGGTGGTTGCACGTCTCCGAAGCGACGATTGATGGGAATGTGATGATGATAATGACGTCAACGCACTTTATAAAATAGCATGGAAGAAATATCGAAAATGTCTCCATCTCCCTCCAATCGGAAGAGACATTTTGGGGGATAATTTGTTAGCTGTGATTTTCGACAAGCTTCAAATTTCAGCATGGCAAAGGCGAAAGTGAGGAAACTCTTAGTGAAAATTTGGTGATGTTCAGAAGCATAGTCGAAATACATGCTAATAACTTTTAGACATGAAGTGGATTTACTAAGATGTCAAAATCTAGCCTGGAAAAAGAGTTATAGACTTAGTAACTTTTTAAAGAGTAGATATAAACATTTCGACCACGACATCTGAGATGTATAATGTGGCTAAATAACTCCTTTTAGCGTTATCCTTTTGAAGAGACACATGAAAGCAATTTTCGAAGCAAAAGGCATGCAATGGGGAACGTGGCATTTAATGGGGAAAAGTCCGCCTTGAGCAGTTATTTAGATTTCAGTTTAAATAGTAGTTCTAATAATAGAATTAGGGTGTCAAATTTACTACCAAAATCACAAAAACTCAGAGTACCAAGCGAAGAAAGAAATAAGTTCCAAGAGTGCAATATACGTTTGATCATCAATTTACTATGCAAAACTTTACTTTTGAATTTACATTCCCTTTCCGTTCTTTTTCATTGAACTCTTTACTTTTTCAGTAAGTTTCACTTTAACTTGTGTTTACCTTTATAAAATGATTTCGTCTATTGTCAAAATCATTCTTACTTTCATTACATGCACATCATTTAAAAAATTCCACGCACATTATTCTAAGATTCCCTAATCGATCTTCCAAGTAATCTTTAATAAAAGATTAATAATATTTATTAAATTTTTAAGGTAAACAATAAATAATCATATATTTTATTAATAAAAATATACAATGTCAATGTGCAAAGTTATGAGGGAATTTTTAAAGAATGAGAAATGTGCAAAATAAATACGAAAAGAAAGAATAATAAATAATAAAAGATATGATGTGAAATAAACATTAACTTTTATTCAAATTATAAAATTGATTTATAACTAGAGTCAATATTTTTTTACAAAACAGCTTATAAATTTCCCTAATTAAGGACAAATTTAATTGTCCTCATTTTAATGGAAATACTTTATTTCTTGATGAATTGAATGCAAATACTTCTCCAATTGCAAGTATCTAAGCCCACCTAAGCTACTCATTCCTAGCTTGGGCCTCACACTCTTTCAAATTTTCAATCATACCCTAAAATTCCTATGACTCAAATGCTGCCACATTTTCTTCATCCCATATCCCTCATCTAATCCACTTGTTAATTTTTGTTAGTTACAGATTCTATAATATCTTGTCATTTTCGACTATTTTCAGAATAAAACTTTTACCTATAAACACCTTTCACTGTGGTCCTGATGTAGCTAAATTGTCCCTACCCTCAAGTGCCGTCCATAACTTAGGGACAAAATGACATGTGAATTTTTGTGTTTGAGCAAATGGCCATGTGTAGGACACTAATAAAATTCCATTAACCAAATTACAAAAGTCTTAATCAAACCATCACACATGCATCATATAATTGGGATTTCATAATTATTGAACAAATAATCATTAACCTACATGTTTTTTCCTTAAATTTGTTAACACGTTTTTAATTACTACATATCTTAAGAAAAAGTAACATCAAAACCAAATCTTATGTTAATTTTGAAATTTGGAAACAAAACATTCTCCCACTATGACAACTATAAGACAAGTTCAGTAGCATTATGCTATAGGGACCCTTTTGCTTCATTGTTTCCCACTACTTAAAAACCTAACATGCACAGTTTTTTGGCAGTGCCTTCAAAGAATACTCAAATGTTCTCTTTTATATTTATTTATTTAATTTCAACAAATTTTTTTTACAGCCTGTACTTTTTTTAATGAAGATGTCATAAAAATCAAAAATAAAATTACAAAAAGAACCTTATTCCTCCTACTACTCAAAGCATGCAAATGGCAAAGCACTATTCTTTTCTTTTTCTTTTCACTTTTTTAGGTTAATATAAAGCACATTTTTAGATAATAACAAAGTTATTTTTATTTCTTTTGTTCATAAAAAGTAACAAAACCATCTTTGACTGTACCATAAATGTAGTATCAATATAACTATAGTTACAATGCATTCCAAAGTCATCAAATATATATATATTTTTTTTTTAGAAAATAACCAACACTGAAGTTACACATATCAACTTCTCAAAATCTCGAAAGAAAAAACTATATTATCACCACAATTTTGTCAAATTCATCGCATACATATTAGCTTCTCAAAATTTCGATAAAAAATAAGACTATATCATTTTGTCAACTTCGTCACACGCATATCTGCTTCTCAAAATCACGATTTTGTTAAATTCATTGCGGCCCATTCAAATACACAAAAGAGTAAAGACACAAACGAATAATAATGATAGTAATAATGATCTTGAATGTTGAATATATTGGTGTGATTTTTCTTTAAGGCTACTACAACTACTTTAATTATGACTCCATGGTCTTCTTCTTCTTCCTCTTTGTCAGAGTCTTGATCCAACTTTTTCTGCCTTTAACAGTTCCTCCTTCAACCTTGTTGCTTACGTGGCAAACACCACCAGATTTTTTCCACCTTATGAGCTGGAACATGTGACCTATTCTCTTTCGCCACCTGAATATGTCACGTGACTTTCCATGCTCTATCACACTCTTGGTCTCTAATTTGTTGTTATTGCAATTCTCTAGGGTCACCTTTGAGACACTATTCTTTTCCCACGAGGCTACCCCATTTTCTTCAAACTTGATTGATATGAATGACTCTTCTGCAAAAGTTTCTTTTAAGTCATTCTCATTTCTCATTCCTATGTGCTAAAAAATCAAACCAAATGTAATGAAATTTCCTCCCAAATATAATGATCAAAATAGTTCGAAATTTTGCAGATTCAAATTCGCGCTTCTATCTTACAAATTAATTACTACATACCTAATTTTTAATAATCTTAAACTAAAAAAAATTAGTTACTACATACCTAATTTTTCTGTGTAGTTACTATGCTGCCGACGGATTTAACCAAATTTGACATTTTTTGATCATATAGTACTGTGTATTAGAGGTGACACAAGGACATAAAGGTAAAAATAAATAGATATATCTTTTTAATAATGGAAGCTTATACTTTTTTATGATAAACATGAACATGAATGACATTTTGCCAAATTAGTTGTGTACCCTAATTCCCTACCAAATCGATGGACCATAAACTTGCAATATAATTTTTTCTGTGTCATAATAATTAATAATAAATGGTATTGCCAATAAGAAAACAATGACCCAACTGAAAACTCTTTTTGACCTTAATTTCGTCATCATTATAACCTAATATAATCTTCCACAAGAAGACACACAAACATGCATTCATAATATTTCATAATTCTTTTTCAATCATCAAAGAAATTAATGGACACCAAATCCTTCCTTTCACCTAACCATGAAAATAAAAAATATTTTATTTTTCCCATTTTCATTTTCATAAACAATATATTTAATGATAAAAATAATTGCATAGATTAATCATTGAAATTAGAGTAAAATAAATAATATAAATATTGATTAAGGTACCTTCTGGAGTTGGAGAGAGATCATCATAGTGATTATTGTTATGATTTTTGCATTGGCGAGATTCAAGGCGAGTGAAGAGAGAACCAAAAGCAAAGATCTTGTGAATAGAAGAAGAATTAGGTGGTTTTTGTGAGTTACCACCTTTTTTGGAGGAAGAACGGTGGTTTTGGTGGTGGCGCCGCCCTTGTTTTGCAACCAATAGAAGAAGTCTCTCATTCAAGCATAAAGGACACACACCAACAACTACTTGCTTTGGATGAAAATAGCAACATGATTTTTCATCCTTATATCCATTTCTATTCATATTTTGAGACTATTGAATTAGGAAGAAGGTGAATTGTGAGAAGGGAAGTTTTAAATGTTAAAAGAAATGTGATGTGGAGTAATTTAAATGAGTGGAAGGTATAATAGTGAGAATATATATGTTGGGAAAGTGTGAAACTAAATTGGAAGGTCATGGGTGTGGGCCTACAAGTGAAGATGTATGAGTCAGAAGAATGTGTATGTATGTGTACTTCTTTTTTGTGTTGTGTAGTGCTATTTAAATTGTGGGTTATGGATTTATACACACAAGGTTCCAAGGTTTTAACTCATAATTCTTTACCCAAATAACTTACTTTTACAAATTTATTTTCTAACTTTTCTAAATATTTTTCAATTTGTCCTACTTTTACTATTTCTTTTTATAAAATATGAGTACATCCTAAATAGACTAGCCTTGCAATTCACTTGATGTGTCATTCCCCTTACTCCTTATTTATTTTTATTATTTATAGAGTTTAATTTTTAAATTATTTTATTTTTAAATTTATAATAAGATAGTTAATTAACACATAAATAATTATTTAAAAGTAAAACATTATTCATTTTAAATAATTAATATAAAAACTAAATATATAACAATTTTTATTAATCTAATAACTTAATATAAAACTAACTTTATTTTAATATTTATAAACATGAAATATATTATAGAATTATTTTATTAATTTCTAATACTTTATAAATTTATTTAAAAAATAATAATACTCACCACCGTCCGAGTTCATATAATATCTCATTTTGAAAACACCTCCATAGTTTATAATGTTTGGTGCCTTAGTTAGATCTTCTTCTTTCTGAAACTATCTCGTTAACTTCAAGGATCAGTTGCACAAAAGAAGAAAAGAACAAAGGCTTCTTCGAGTTATCCCAGCAATTAATCATCCGGTCCACAATAAAATTTAACCAATTAAGTCCATTATCAATAATGAGAGTCCACATCAAGTATAAATCATTATCATCAGCTTTGCCCCAATTTCTTGGTTTCATGTAGAGAATCTTAACAATAATCCAGTGCAACAAGTACATATCAAACTTGACTTGACTGATGTCAAAGTTTGATATGGCAGGACTTTCACAAACAAATTTAGAGATAAAGAGAACAAAAGAAATCATATTTGTAATACGGTGGAAGAACTGACTTTTTTTGGTTTTATCCAAATGCGCGGATAGCAAGAGTCGCTGCCGATTTTTCTTTTATCCGATATTTAAGAAAGGTGAAAAGAACAGAAAAGACCTTTGATAGATTTTGAGTTCGGGGGGTAAGTTATGAAAAAGGAAGGTGTTAGTACCATTTTCATCCGTAGTTATCTACGGGCTCTTAATCGCTTAGCTCACTTTTGAAAATCTTGCTTTGTGTGTGTGATTTGAAAATATTTTGAAAAACCAATGTAAGGCTAAATTTGTAATGATTCTTGTATCAGTCCTTAAGAATGCGTACAAAGTGTTTGAAAATATTTGTTTGAAAGTGTGATGTGTAAAAAATGTCTCTTAGAAAAGATTGTGAGCCAGCGATTAAGAGTTCCTTACCCACTAAAGGCCATTCTTATTTTTTTCATTCTCCTTTAGAGATAATGTTATCCATATCATTAGTTGGTAGGTAGCCCCATCTATTGGATGTGAAGGGACATGTGTAGCGTCATCGTATGATCATCGAAGGCAACATGTAAGGATACTTTAGCAATTGTATCAGAGGGACTATCATCATTTTGCTCGTAGGGTCATTGAAGGGACTAAATTATTTTGTAGGCAACTCGAAGGGTCATCGGGGGATTATGATCTTTATTTGAAAGGGATCATACTGATATTGTTAAATCGAGGGTCTTTTGCTAAAGTATCTCTACTTTCGAGGGACATGACCAATATCGTAAGGCAACAAGAGAGGATATCCTAGAGGTGCAAGTGTGCGAAGTATTTATTTTCAGTTATATTATCTTGAATATTAGGGTTCTCTATGTTCAGTTATTAGTCTTGCCATACAAACCCTAGTTACTAGAAATTGAGTAAAAATATCTGAGCAGAAAGTAAAGTGCAGAATGTAAACCTAAGCTATTACATGGCTTCTGGGAAGTTACATAAGTATAAAAATACGGGAAATAAAACCTACGCTATTACATCCTGGGAGCAGACACATAATAGAGAAAAACTGTGAAAATATAAACCTAAGCTATTATAATTAAATAGTGAAACCAATACACTTTTCTAAGAAAATAAATAGAAAAAAGAAATAAGAAAATGTTTAGAAAAAATGTTTGAATATTATAAAACCTAAGTTTGTATTTTTGTATTTTTATAAAAATAATTTAAATGATAATAGTAATTAAAACCTAAATGCTAATTGATTTTAATATTTAGGAAAATATTAATTAGCCTAATTAATTAGTATATAAAAATATGTCAAAAATTGATTATTGATTAAAAGAACCCTAATTCTAATTAACTTTAATATTAAGAAAATGTTAATTAATTTAATATATCATAAAAATTAAATATTAGTTAAAAGAACCTAATTCTAATTTATTAGTAAAAAATTTAGGTTAGTTTAATAATTGGTTAAAAAATAGGGTTAGAAAAGAGAAAAAGGATAGAATTAGGTTAAGACAAAAATAGGAAAAAAACTGCATGGAGTGCGTGTTAAACCCACACCCTCCTGGCTTTTTACTACATCGCTTGCCACTAAGTCAGGCGCTCATTGGTGTTTGAGAATAGGCACTGCATAATATATATGAAACCTGCATTAATTCATCTCAGAAACACATTAGAATTATTAGATTCAATCAAAGCATCATGAATATTAAAATATAAATTTCACAAAAAAAAACATGAAACTGGTAATGCATGGAATGTAGGTTTCAAGCACTTTTAATCATCGATAATGATTCCAACTTACTCTATGGTACCTCAGGAATTGATTTGAATGGTCGTTTGGCCTTGAAGATGGCTGAATCTTTGATTTCAATTTTTCCCTAGTTTTGATAAAAGTCGAGATTTTGAGATTTTTTAGGGTTCTTCTTGAGACTTTCTTTGGAGGCAATATCGTGACCCCCTTGTATGAATGTGTTCTATATTTATAGTCAATGAATTAGGTCAACAAACATGAATCAAATCTTTGTATTTCATGACAAAGTATTTGATTTAATTTTTTTGCATAGAAACATATCTTTTTAAGCTCAATCTTGTGCCAAATCCAATCTTCATGATCTCTCACGATTTTTTAGTATGATTATGTGATATTGGACTCATGATTTGATTCTTAATAGATCACACACCTTGTATCATTCATTTGATATTTTATTTGATTTATTTTTCTTTTAAATTAATAAAATCAAAATAAAAAGAAATAAAACCATAAAAATAAATGAATGAATTTAGGAGTCTATTATGAGGTCAGGAACACGTTTGAACCTTAAAAGATAAGCCCATTAGCCCAAAATTCAAAATTTCTCAAATTGAACTTCATGCATTTTCTCAAAATTGTCCAACTTGCACAAATCATATCTCACTCAATTTTTTTCATTTGAAGACTTTATCTTGATGTAAGTCGCCTTGACAAAAAGTGTTTTTTTGTTGACTTTTGAAATGACCTGTAATGTTTTTGCCCATATCTCTTAAATGAAACATTTTTTGGACTTGAGCTTAGAGAGACAAAGTTGTAGAGAATGGAATTTCCTTTAAAATGGGTTTTGGTTTGAGAAAATTTTGATGAAGCATGTGAAAGTTGTGCTTGGTCAAAGTTCAGTTGACTTCTTAAGAAAATCCTAATTAAGTAACTTTTGACTTTTGATGAATCTTGAGTTTTCTTGATGAATCATGAGCGACCCTTGATAAAATGATGAATGTGACTTCAAAATCTTTATGTTGACCAAAAATCTTGAAGTTTGACTGTAAATTGGTCAAAGTTAACTTTTTGTCCAATACAATTGATTTTTAATCATCTGAGTAGTTGACTGAGAAAACTTGTGCTGCAAGGCTTGAAACTTAGCATGAGGATTCTTTGAAGCATATTAGAAACCATGAACTCCACTTGAGGCATTATAAGTCCAATTTTCCTTGAGAGAAGTGAAACCCTAGTTGTAGGTCAATTGCTTATGAGGAGAATTTGTCTAATCAAATGTTGAGCAACCTTGAGCGATTGGGAACCCTAGGAGAATGTCTTGGATAACGAGAGGGAAAATTTTGGGGTACAACACTATCATACTCAGATGATCTTGAAATAACCATATCAGAACCAGAAGAAGTTAACCCAAAATACTTAATGAAATCCATATAATTGAAAGTAACAACTTTGTCCTTGAACCTACTTTCAATGCCATCATTAGTCTATACAAGATTATAGTAAAAATATTTTACATAATCAGGATTATACATCTTATTCAGCCCAAAATTTTTCAAAAGAAGAAGAAAAGTAAATGGTTCAAAATTTTCACTTTCAATTCAATCTCAACAGATGCATCAACATAATACTCAAGGTCAATCGGTTTGTTCAAAATATTTCTTGATAATGTTATAAACTATCCTCAGGGAAAATATGTTTTACCTTATGACATAGATCTTAAATAGTTTAAGCCTTAGAAGACTTTTTCTTAATCTTTGCATCAGGTGTTGCTTTGCTCGCTTGAACCTTAATCCTTGCTTTCTTAGGAACTAGTGGAGGAGAAGACACCATGCGTCTCTTGCCTTGTTGCTTGTAAGAGAAGCTCTTTTGAGGTTTGAATGAAGCCATTGATGATGTTATAGAAATGGGTTTGAGCATTTAGGTGATGTTAGATTAAAATGAGATGATGTTATAAAGATTTTATGATGATGGAAATAATTCCGCTCAAGAGGTTTTGGAGAGATGATGAGAAAATGAAATGAAAATGAAAGGAAATACTAAAATAGTTTTTTTCAAAATATGGTTGACTTTTTAGATGTGATTTGAATCATGTGTAAAAGTTAATTCGAACCACGAGTTTTATTTTTGAAGAAAAAGCACTTTGATTT